TCCCTTGGATAGGACTGCATCCTGTCTTCCCTCAGACCTCTCTCAGGAAGTGCTCTCCTGTTCCTTCTGCTGTGCTCTTTCCTACACCTTCTTGCTTCTGACCACCTTCCTGAGGCCTGTTCTGGCTACTTTATTTAATATTCAGCCTGTCTTCCTTGATCCTCTATAGCCCTTTTAAAGTTTTCTACATAATTTGCCATTTTTACAGGCCATACGATAACTTATTATATTCATTGTTTATAATAGCAATAACATTGTTAGAATTTAGCATCAGATTGGTCTTGAATGAAAGAGAACTGAAGCTGTCCTCTCCTTGTGCAGATCTGCTTCTTCCACAGTGCTTCAGAACACTTGATACCTCCTGCACTTGCTCTTAGAGCTGAGCAGGAAGACTCGAGAATAATTTGACTGTCAAGTTCATATGCAGAAAAACAAAGAGGTCAAGAGAAGTTTGATTCCCTGAAGTTTTAAATATTCCTAAGGGTGTTGAATATATTAAAGGCAGAAATAAATGTGAAAGTGAGCTGCAGGTGTCCTCCTGTCTCATTTCTTTGTTTTGAACATCTCTGCCTTATTTTTTTAAGCGTAAAGGACTGCTGATCGCCTGTCTGTGTCATGACCTGGACCACAGGGGCTTCAGTAACAGCTACCTGCAGAAGTTCGACCACCCGCTGGCAGCTCTCTACTCCACCTCTACCATGGAGCAGCACCACTTCTCCCAGACAGTTTCCATCCTGCAGGTGAGCCCTGACCCTGGGCCCATGCCCAGGGCCTCTTGGGAGGTGCTGATGCTTCCTAGGTGAGACGGGAATGTTGTTAGGCCTACTGGGAAACATCAGTTGCATTTTATTGTGCTATCTTATATTTATAGTCATAACTAAATGATTATGTGGATCTTTTGAATAAAAAAATCCTTGACAAAGATGTCAAATATATATATTTTGCAATTACATTTGTTTTCCACAGGTTATATTAATAATATATGATCTCCAAAAGCAAATTTCATTTTACATAGTTTAATTATATGGATTATCATATTCTTGAAACCAGAATGTATTCAGCATCTTAAAAGTTAGGTAAATTCAAGGTTTTTAAGTGCATTGAATTCCTTTTATCTTTTCTTGCATGTGGGTTTTTATTTTATTGCTTTTAAGATATTTCTGGTGATTGCTCTGGTTGATGGTAGAACTCGTTTCAGTAAAACTTGTTACGCTCCTTCTTTCTTAAACCTTTTTCTCAGCCTCAGCGTAACAAGGTAGCTGTTGTGTCAAAATGGTTTGAATCCTATCACAGAGAGAGTTTTTAAATTATGACCTGTGTTAGTTTAAGGACGGTGGACCCTGTATTTCCCTCCTACCGCCAGCACCTAACAAAGGAAAAGGAATCTGTGTGGGTGTTCTGGGTGGCGAGTCTACAGGAAGTCTCGAGTCTCCAGAGGCGCCTGGAGAAGTGCCAGCAGTGAGTCTAGCGGTAGCTGTCCATGGACAGAGGGCAAACAGAAAGGCTTTTTCCACTTGGCGCAGTTTTTTGCTTCCCTCTGGACAGCCCGGTATCACTTTCTCTCTTCAGCTTCTCTAAGGCTTCTCTAGTGCTCCTCATTTGGCCTGTGTGCCCAAAGGGTTGGTAGTACTGCATGCTCAAACCTTAAAACCCAACTAAACTTAGCTGTCTGGGCACTGAGAAGGTAAGTGATGAAATTCCTGATGTGCAACTGCTGCTCTGATATCCTGCTGGGTAAAAGCGAAAGAGGTGTTAGATATGGAGTGTTAGATATTTTAGTTCTTTTCAATCTATAACCCCTAAGTAGCAGAGTGGCTGATGTTGCACTTGTTTATAGATGAGTTCTGCCCCTGAGAGCTCTATGTGAGCATTGGTCCTTTCTTTTATAAATGATGTATATTTGAATAGATGCATGCATACATGCAGCACACTTAGAAATTTAATGAGGATAGAAGGTGTGTTTAGAAATATATATAAGTCACGCTTTTTGTAAGTAGGTGAACATTGTAGAACTTCATCGAAGTTATATTTACTTTGACCTCACTCACTCATTATTTGAAGGTATGTTTTTGTACAACTAGAAGGATGGATTCTGGAAATGACATCAGTATGCCTTCAGTTAGAACTCACTGAATTCACATCCCATATCCTAAGTAAATTCATATGTTTGATGATGGCAGTGCTTCTAGTAGTTTAATCTGCAAATGAATTTTAATAGATTTCATAATATTCCTTTAGAAAGCCTGTTTTAATATAATAGAATTATCTTTGAAGTAGGCCAACATTAAAAAGCAGATTGCCACTAGGATAGACTAAAACTAATCCTGTGATTCAGCAGCTGTGTGGAGCAGCCAGACCCCCTGAGCTACTACTGTCACAAATGACTGTGGGTCTAGCTGGAACTATCCATCTGCATAGCCAGATAAAAAAGATACCCAGTTCAGTGTACTGCATCGTGTTGGGAATGGTTCCTGTTTGGGCACCCACCGGGCTCTGTGAGTGCTGATTTCCATTTTGGCTCCCAGTGTCACCTGCTGGGTAGTCTGGGCAAGCAGAAGGATACTACTGGCCACCTCAGCAGCAGCAATAAGCAGGCAGTTGTCAAATACATCTTAAAACTACCCTTCTGACTCCCTCGTCCACACAGCTCTCGGGTGGGCAGGCAGAGACCAGGAGAGTACAAGTGTCAGAGTGAGAAGGGCGCAGTGGACGAGGGGTGAGGCGAGTCATGATAAGGAGACTGTGAAGCACAGAGAGAAGGGCGGCCCACAGTCTCGGCTCTCACTGAGCTTCCTGTTCTCTGCTGGTGCTGCTGCTGAGTCAGCCTGCCACTCTGAGGACACAGTGGACGTTCTGAAGGCAGAAGTTCCTGCTCAGTCCTCAGTGAAGGTCAGGGCCCCTCTGGCCACTGCAGCTTCCTGAGGGCCTGTCACCACCTTTCCTGCTCGACTCCCCATTCCAGTCTCATGCTCTTCTGTTCTATTGCCTTTCCCTAAAACCTGTCCCTCAAACCTATCCTCCAGATCCATGCCTGAGGTGGTGTTCTCCTGTGACAGCGTCATCAGTGGCTCTCTGAAGCTTTAGGAATGAATTCCCAGTTTTATAATTGATATATAAATCTTTTATGAATGGCCTCTGCTGTTGCAGGACCATGGTATCTGCCAGACGCTTGTGCTGTTCTCCTCCCTCTTTCTGGAACCAGCTTCTTATTTTTTAGGCTCAGGTTGTGCTTTAATTTCTCTGGTGACATCATTTATGGAATTCCCATAGAGCAGGGCACAGCATTATGCCCCTTTTCCATGATCCCTGGGTGTCTCAAACATATGTATGACTTAGGTTTTTTTTTTTTTTTTTGTTTTTGTATTGAAATTTTCTGTTATAAGCATAACTTTCTAATTCCTTTGAATTGTAAATTGGTGAAGACAGTGGGTGCCCCTTGCTCGTGTCTATACCAAGCTCTGGGTCTGTCCTTCTGTGCAGAGATGGGGTTGTGAAGGTACAGTGTGGGTTAGGAGGAGTCAGAGTGGGCAGGACAACTGGGCAAATCTTGGAGGGTAGAAACTCCAGGTGTCATGTAGGAGAAGGAAGTGGCTGTGTCCCCCAGGGCACAGGGCTCTCCTAGTGGCCCAGGAGCAGAAGGCCAGTGAGGTGCCTTCCAGCGAGATTATTCTGTGTGGCCATCGACATCCAAGGAAGCAGGTGACTTTGTATTCTTACCTATAATGTTCGTATTTTAACCCTTGTGAGAGAAGCATTATTATTGCTGTATTAAATCAGTTTGTTCTATTTTCTAATGAGATGTTACTGATCATTTTGAATATTGAAACTATCTACTTTCTATCCTTTGCCCTCTGAGAATACTCTGTTAAGTTCTCAAAAGTCAAGTTTTAGAAACTGAACTAATTAGGAATATTTAGTCTCATTATGAGACAGTATTCTTATTAATCTTCAATTATCTAATGATTTTGAAACATGATAAAATTTCAGAAAGTTATCTATGTGTATTTTGGGATCCCATGACTTTTTCATTACGTTTTATAGCAATAATATTTATGAATATCAGCTAGAGTCTTCCAATTCATTCCATTCATAGAATTTACTGCTGTCTATTTCAATAATAGCAAAATAGTACTTGCATGCAACATGACCTTTACTAACAAATTAAAATGTATAACCTGGGGGCTGGCTTATATTCTCTCCTTCTCTGCCAATGAATAGAAATGGTCTTTGGCCATCAAACTCATTTTGGAGCATATCTGTTTGTTTCTTCATTTGCTTTTCCTTCTCTCTTTCCCTTAACTCTTGGCTCTTAAGTCATGCTGGTGGATTTTATCATTATCACCACCACCCTCATTTTATCTGTTGGGTACTTACTGTGAACCGTAAGTGTGTTTTGCATATTTTAATACATTCAGTTGTTTAGAATATTCCTATAAGATTATTTTTGTTCATTTCATTTAAAAAATAAGAATAAAATGCATCAAAGAGATTAAGAGATTTGTCCATTTGTCACATGACTAGTGAGAACAAGATGAGCAACAGGAGGTGTTTGGTCCCCAAAGCCTGTATTTTTAATCAAATACTGCAGTGCTTCCTAACCTGTGGTTTGAAGCTGTAGGTGATTAAACAGCAAAACAAGCACTCTGTGTATTTTAAAAGCATGCTCGATGCAGAGTATTGTATCATTGACTTCACACTTTTTGTGCCAGAACATCTGAATGATCTAGCCCAGCCCTGTGGCTTCCTGGAACAGGAATCTTCAACCCACTTAGGGCAGGATTGCCAGGGTCAAAGCCTGGATTGGTTGGCAATCCAGATGTAGAAACTAGGTGTTGTGGCCCTTCTGAAAGAATCTCCTTTAGGGATGAGCAGAATAGAGTTTTGGGGGAGATTATTTGTGATTAATAGTAATATTTTTAAAACTTGCTGAAAATAAGACTGATGGATCAGTTTCTGTTCCTATCTTGTGTTGACTTACTAGCAGTTTTTCTGAAACAATCCTCATGCTATCACCTAACTTAAAACTATCAATTGCTCCTTATTACCTCCAGGATAAATTTTGGGAGAAGTACTGAGGATTGAACCCAGGGGCACTCAAGTCACTGAGCCACATCCCCAGCCCTATTTAAAACATTTTAAAATTTTGAGACATGCTTAGTTGCTTAGGGCCTCACTAAGTTACTGGCCTTGAACTTGTGATCCTCCTGCCTCAGCCTCCTGAGATGCTGGGATTACAGGTGTGTGCCACTGCACCTGGCCCTCCAGGATGATATTTTAATACATTAATGCCTTTTGAAAACTTGGACTTAGATTATTACATTCAATTTGCCTTGGTTGTATAGCAATTTTTGTGATTTTATTCAAATATCGTGATTTCTGTAGTCTCAAGAGCTCCATATCACAGGCTGCTGCTGCTTCTGTTTGTCCTGTAGTATCCATGTCCTCTCCCAGGAAAAGCCTCACATGGTCTCCTTCATTGAGCTCAAATACAGAGAATGTTCTATTTTAATTGCATACTTATACCCTTACCTTTCTACCAACTATGAACTCCTCAGAAAACCAACTTTTATTGTTTATGACCTTGGATATAGTGGGTACTAAACTACTATGTCCACACATAAAATGGAACACTGCAGACTAAATATCTGCTGAATAAGTGAAGTCAGATCGTGGGGTTTTCATTTGTGGGAAGGACACAACTGTGGAGGAGGTGCTTAGAATTATCCCAAGAACTGGAGAGGACTCAAGGAGCATCCATTCAGGTGGATCCTCTTGTCCCACAGACACTTGAGCATCTCATGAAAACACAAGAAGATGTGCAGCAAGCTCAGACTCTGAACTTACAGAACCCAGGCTAAGAAGTCTGTATTTTAGAGAGAATTTTTTTAAAAATTTCAACAACATACTAGGATTTTTTTTTTATATTACAGTTGAACAGATCATTGTGGTGTTTGTGATAGAGGAAATAAAAGACAAAAACAGGTCAGGAAGCATGAAGTGTGCCAGCACAAGTCCCTTCAGGAGACCTTCTGGTGAGCCAACCAAATACACTCTGACATGAGACGTGTTTGTGAAGTGGCACACGCAGGTCTTGAAGCAGGACACGCTGACGCAGAGGCAGCTGCTTCACTGGGGTTTTCATCAAGTCAGAGAAAGCAGAGCCCATAGCATGGACCAGAGTGAAGACTTCCTTCCTAGAGATTCCCACAACACAGCTGTGGAGAGTCAAGGTTGATAGCAATGGAGTCATGCCCCCTGCCCAGTGCTGTCCCAAGCAGTCACCAGCTAGCTGTGCTGGAGTGTCCCAAGCCCAGCAGCTCCTGCACCCTCCACTTGGGAACTCAGCCTTTGTATGCTCCTTCTTAGCTCCTCCTCATCGCATCACCAGGGCCCTGTTGTTTTCATGAAAGGAGCTTCAAATGTGAATGTCTCCGCTGCAAACTGCAAACACAACCGGCTTATGTAAGCACTAGTTTCCCTTCACTCAAAGAAGCATCTTAGTTAACACTTCAGCATGTATTTCAGTTTAGATAGACATCAAAGGCTAATTTTATAATTTGAAAGTGAAATCGCGTGTTGGAAAGTGCTTATAAGCTCGGGTCATCATACATTTAAGGTCTTCTCATTACTGTTGTCCTGAAATTACCTACAAGAACTGAGTCCATTTGCTGTATGCGTTTATGTCTAAAATCTCAAGAGCAAATTGCATAGGAAGATTCTAATGTTTGAAAACAAATGGTCACATACAGCTGTTCTTCAGAATATGAAGCACACAGTGCCTTAGTGTGATGTCTGATTTTGTAAAGCAGCATATTATGGGCTGGGGCTGGGCTCAGTGGTAGAGCACTCACTAAATATAAAAAATAAAGATACTCTGTCCACCTAAAACTGAAAAATAAATATTTTTTTTAAAAAGAAGCATACTTTAATAATTTCAAGTTTGTAATGTGTTTTATCAGTCAATAAGTGTAGATTAAGTGAAATAAAATCAGTTTATCATAGGAATATTGACCATTGATTTAAAAAATCATTAAAAATTGATGAACCCACAAATTGAATACATCATAATCATATCAGCCTTTTTTTAGTTTGAATAAAAACTTTTACTGAAAAAAAGTGCTTAAAATTCTCAGAGGAAGAAACTCTTCTGAAAAGTTTTATGAAATTTTATAGCTAGAAGAATATCTCTGAGAACAGAATGGAATTACAATGCTCTGTGCTCAGTTGGGGTGAGGATGTATCTCTTCCTGTCTCCCCAGGGGAACAGAAGTTGCTAGTAGTTCTGGAATCTCTGCTGGCTTGTGTGTCATGTGGATGCGTTGATGCCTGTAAAGAGTTTAAAATGTGTGAATAAATGTTAGGTTAGTTGTGGCACATTTTCTTTTAATAAAAGTTGATTGCTACTTATTTGTGACAACATGCAGTGCACATGCTAATAGATACCTTTTGAAGTCCATGAGTTCCAGTGTGATATAAACCTTAAGTTCTGAAATTACCTTAAGAGAAAAAAACTTCAACCTAAATATTCTACATTTTCTAGTCCTAATAACTACCAGAAATATACAAAAACTAGATATATTGAAGTCCCTGGGGTTTTGTGATAGTGAGTGATGGATGTCTCTACAGTTAAAATAGTTCTTTAAGTGGAAGCTTCGCTGGGGCATGTGGAGAGTCCAAACTGCATCCCCACAGCAGCCCTGTCAGACTCTCCTTTTGTTCCCAAAGTTGTCATTGGTGTGCCAAGTGTCATCACTGACTGCTGTTTCAAACAGCTGCAGGTGTCTGGGCCTGAGCTTTGTGCTCACTGTGGTGTTCATTTGTGTTTCTCTGCAGTTGGAAGGGCACAATATCTTCTCCACCCTGAGCTCCAGTGAGTACGAGCAGGTGCTGGAGATCATCCGCAAAGCCATCATCGCCACTGACCTTGCCCTTTACTTTGGGAACAGGAAACAGTTGGAAGAGATGTACCAGACTGGATCTCTAAATCTCCATAATCAGTCGCATAGGTAAAAATGATTTTACAAAGTTTAGAAGCCCAGGAAGTATTATCTGGAAATAATTGATATTTAAGAAATGTAATTTGGTATAAGTTTTTATTTGACAGAAGAAATGTAAGATGATTTGCTTTTCTGTTTCATGTGTATATTGTTTAATGTTTATTTTGGATATTTCCCTCTTTTTGGCAGGGGCAAAATTTCTGATAATGTACTGGTAGGATAATTAAAATAGATATGAAAACTAGCCTCTCCAAAGCAGGTGCCTTTAAAGGGAAAGGTTTTGCCTTGAGTTCACCAGAGCGTGGGGTTTGGTCAAAACTTCCTAGACCCCAAAGTACATGAAAATGGATTCACTTTTCAGAATCCAGATCTTATCCACAAAGCTAATGTGATTAATATATAAAACTGGAATTTCATTGTATTGATCTTCAAACATGTTGAAGCACAAGGACAAAAATATTGGCATTTTTTGTGATCAGAATCATTTAGGAAGCCAAGTAGCAATCATAAGTTTGTTGATGAACATGGAATCAGAACAAGTAAAATTAGATTCATTGTATCTTCTAATGGCATTGGGCTAAAATAGTCTGATGCTTTTTTGACTGAGGACCAGCATCTTGCCTAGGGGATTCAGAACCATGTCAGATATGTTCCTCACGAATTGGCCACTGATCTGTTGCTTATCTGCCTCGCCCGGGGCAGTTCATTGGTGGTTGCCACCAGCTTTTACTGCTGTTACTTCCCTGTGGTGTTTCCAGGTCTGAGCAGTGCATCTCCAGTGATGCCAACTCTGTTGTTAAGTTTATGAACATTGTTTATTGGCTTGGTGCCAGTCTGCTCTCTTAGTTCTCTCTGTGATCCATTCTTTCCAGAGCACAGTTTCTTTTTTTCAAATTCTTGGAAGAAATTTATTCATGCACCCCAAATGCCGCACATTAGTTTTTATAAATGGACATAAATATCTAATAAAGTTTACCACTTCAAGAATAAATATCATTTTATAGATGTCTTTGATTAAGCAACAGTATTTGTGATTCACTTTACCTTCAAACAGACATGTCCAAATTTTTTAGAACTTGAAGCTTATACAACTTGGGGATTTTTTTAAAGAGAAATTCAAGACATTTTATTTTCACATATAGCATATTTCATATTTTCACATATAACAGGGCCCCTCCCAGGACCATGCAAGGGGTCAGTGCCAGGGAAGGGCCTAGATGGTGTTCTGGCACATCCTCCTCCGCCTTCCCCCTGTGAGATATGTACTGTTACTTCCTCTATCCATCAGGTTATGTGTAGTTCTTGTACTGACATCTGCAGAAACAGGTGATTGTTCACAGTTCTCTCTTTTTTTTTTTTTTTTTGATGACAGTTAAGTTTAGGAAAATATAGCCTTCATAAAGTATTGTTATGGCTTCCTGAAACCCAAATGCTTTCTTTTATTCCTTGAACCATATTATTTTTAGCTGAATTATTATAATAATTATAATTGTCATTATAGAATTGAATTCTTAAGCATGTAATTGTAAAATATTATTTGGGGCTTAAGGCATACATATTTGGTGTTAGTAAAATATATCATATGATTTTGTGTAACTAAGTAATTTTGACACAGTAATTTTAAAAGCAATTAATGCTTGTTTGTTTTAATAATTTAGAATGTAGAGGTGTTCATGGGAAAAGAAATAATTGAGCTATTTCACTTTCCAATACCAGTTATTTTCTGTAATACCATCCGTGCACCTTTCTGTGTTTTCAAAGGTGTGTGTTTATACAGTATATACAGTGCATACATGCCCATGTGCTTTTTATCTTTCCATTTTTTTAAAACAAAAAATGTAATTATACTGTATTCATCCCTTTTAAAATTGTGTAACAATACGTATGGAGTACTATATCAAATATTTTTCCATATTGATGGCCAGTGTTTCTAGAATTTTGCATTATACATTAATGCTGCAGAAACTCTGGCTTGATTCTTTAAAAAGTACTGATTCTTTAAAAAGTATGCAACATATATTGCTAGAAATTTATGGGCAAATTAAGTTTCTTTTCATATTTAGTTTTCTAAAAAAAATCACAACCCTTCAAACATAAGGGTGAAAACATTTCTCAATAAACATGCCATTCTAATTGCTTCCTGTGATGAACATATTGTCATGTTTGTTTGTGATTTATTACTCAGACTTCTGTGTATCTGTTCATAATGTTTAGTTATTTTTTGATGAGTTGTTCACTTTCAATAGATATTTTTACATTCTTCATTTTTTTGCTGAGGATATTAATATTTTCTGTGATATAATGCAAATATTTTCTTCAGGTGATTTTCAAAAATTTTATTTAGATTTTCTTTCTTCTTTTTTTGTTGTGGTGTTGGGGATCAGACCCAAGAGCCTTGTGCATGCTGGGCAAGTGCTCTACCACTGAGTTGTATTAGTTTCATGAAGCCAAATATGTCATCATTTGTTTTGATTAAATCTCACATTAATATAAAAAGTATATAAACTTTTCTTTGTGTATTTTTCTAGTTTAAAATTTTATATTTACATTTTACTTCTTCAAGAGTTGTATTTTTATGAAAATAATTTATCCTTGATAGTTGAAATATCAGTATCACTTAATGAATAATTAATTGTTTCATTGAATTGAATATATTAAGTTTTTTACAAACATGGATCGTTTTTTTGACTCCTTAGCTATTTATTGCTAATTAGCTGATCCTTAAATACAATTGCTCTGTTTTGATAACTGTTACTATGTCAAAATTTATATTATATACCCAGTAAAATAATCCTAACCTTGCATTTATTTTGGAAAAAAGAATTAATGGACATTGTTACTTAGGAAATTTACTTAATGAGTGTTTTTTACAGTAATTTTCAAATGTATTATACACCAGTTTTCAAAGATATTTTCACTGGATTTAGAATTCTAAGTCTTCAGATTTCCTTTTCTTCAGCATTTATAAAATGTTCAGTGTTCTTCTGTCTTCATCTTTTTGGTTTTTCCTGATGAGAATCAGAGGTCATTCTTATTGTTATTCTCCTATGTACAGTGTGCCATTTTACTCTGGATGCTTTTTGTTTTTAGATGGAAGTGTTTAGTTCTCAGATTTTTCTTTGGCCTATCATTGTATCCAAATATGCATTTTCTTAAAGATTCTTAAACATACCTGTGAGTTATTTAGAAATCCTTGCCTACTTTCCATAATCTGAGTTCTTTGTAAGTTCATCTTTATATCTCATTTCCCTCTGGACCATTTCCTGTCTCTTTGCATGTATAGTCACTTATTTGTGTACTACACTGTGGATGATATGTTCAGTTATCTTACTAGATTCTGTTATCTTTCTCTGAAGATAATTAACTTCTATCCTAGTAGTCAATTAACTATCCTTAAATCACTCTGCATTTATTAATGAGTTACTTTAAGCTTTATTTGAGTGGATCTCTTCCTGATGTAGCTACGTCTTCCTGTCAAGGATTGGAGAGGTCAGGGGTTTGGGGGGAATGTGAATGCCGATTTGGAGGCTTCTGCCTTTGTGGCTCCTTCTTCTTTCTTGAATTCTCTCAACTTTTGTGTGCTCTGGTGGCCCCAACTCTGCTGTGTGCTATTTACCCCATGTTCTTAGGACAAGACTGTGTAAGTATGGCCCCTCACACAGTTATGTCATCGGTTGAAACTGACCTCTGCCCTCAGTTAGGTATGTCATAGTGCTTTCACGTAGTCATCTTCTTTTAGAATTGTTCACAGGCTCTCATTGTTTTTTTTTTTGTTATTAACCAGAATTCTGAATCTTTGTTTTGTGCCTAGCCATTTATTATGTTTTCTTAATCAGTTGAAGATTTATTTTACTCTATTGGTCTAAGGTACAAATATAAATACAATTAATTTTTTACATATTTTGCTTTCTCGTCATACTGGTTAGCTGGTAAAAAATATTGGATGGTGGTGAAGAAAGCCATATCTAAAATGTACATGATTTTAGTAGCAATTATTTTAGAATTTTAAATTTAGTAAAATATTTGATCTATCTTAGTAAAGTAACCACATCTAATATGTGCAAAATTTTAATAGCAATTATTTTAATTTTGATAATAACATTTGATATATTTTAATAAATCATTTTTATTTTTTCTGTTCTTGGTTTAAACTATTTTTTATTAAAAACTTGTAGCTATAGAGATTTTCACTACTTTCTAGTGTTTAGTATTACTGATTCCATATTTATTGATAGGTGTTTATATTTTATAATTTTGTGCTACTGCTAAATTCCTTGAACTCTATACTTTTCCATGGAATTCATCTTTTAATACACCAAGGTAATACATTTTCTATCTTTTCTAATAAATTTGTACCTAATTCATAATTTAAATATGTTTGTTGTATTTTACACTAATTCAGTTTATTCCTAGTTATTGAATTTGCTCTGATCTGGAGGAGTAAAAATAACTAAGGTTAACAATTTTGAGAAAGTTCAGTAGTGTGAATTTGCAAAACTACTATAGTCTGCCACCTTTCCCAGCGGAGGACATTAACAGACGTTCAAATGTCTTACGGTCAAGGGGATTTCTGTTTTTGTTTTGTTTTGATTTTTGTTTTGTTTTGTTGTCACTTTATCCCACTTTTGGGGCAGTTTATTTTTATAGAAAGTCATCTTGCTCTTTCCAAATTCTTACTAAAGTATTTGCAAAAAGTGTTCTCATTTAAATTTAATCCTACTATATTCATAGTTACTTTAATTTTCAGTGCTTCCTTCCTTTGTTTCTGTAATCATACTTGCCTGGGATATTTTTATTTTAATTATTCTGTTTTTAAACTAGTTTTTATAAAATTCATCATTTCTTGCTTGTTTGCCCCTCCATTAATTTTGACTTTCATCTTTATGCCTTTTTTATACTCAGTTGTCCTTTTCCGTGTTTTTTAAATTGGATAATAACAAAATGATCATGTGTTGTCATTGGTGAACTAATTGCATCATACTTGCAGGTGTTTGGTGAAGTACTTTCCT